CGTACCGTACTCCTCAGCTCACGCCTAATTTTAATGATTTCTTTCGCGCCAACCACTTTTATGATTTCTTTCGCGCTAACCACTTGAACTCTCCTGGCAGAGAGAGAGCGCCCGACCACGAGGCGCCACCTGGTGACTCGTCGTCCCCGTCTCAACCCAACGGTACGATTGCTCCTTCCTTTCGAACCGCTCACTCTTGCGACCTTTCGCCGGAATCAACTCAATCGTTTTTCCTTCTCAGACTCGTCACCAGCCGGGCACGAAGTGGTATTGGCAGATCTCTCACACGACAATGGCAATCTCTTCTGGCCACGTAGTGGCATCAACTGATATTTCTGATTCTTCGGCACACGGTAAGCGCGTCGCACTCTTTTCATTTATTGCCGTTTTCCGTCCTATGTTCTATGCGACGCCCTTTTTAGGTAGTGCACTCCCCGGTAACGAGGTGGCACCTCCGAATTTCTTTCGCGCTAACCATTTTGATGATTTCTTTCGTGACATCCATCTTAATAATTTCTTTCGCGCTATCCAATCGGAATCGCTTGTACAAATGCGGTCAGGGTTGCTTACAATTCAGTATTATTATGTAGATATGTGTCACATATGTGCTTCTTAAGGTATCGCCTGGCCGATTCGGAGTTGTTTGCTACAGTTGCTTTCAAAGAGACAGATGCTATTCGAAGGAGGTTTTCAAGTATGTGATGAAGTTAAACTCGTCTAGAGGTTTTTTTTGAAAATGGTTGTTGCAAAATTCAACAGATTTATTATCCTTTCCAGGGACGCCTACCAATCGAGGTCTTTTCGATAATAGAATGTTGGAAGAATACATTCTGCTATGCTGTCAAGTAAGATTTCTTACCCATTTCACCTTCTTTTTCACACTTGCCTCTATACCAGTTTATTTGCAGGACGAAGCCGGTGGTTTCCGTGATAAGCCTGACAAGGCACGATATCACACCTGTTATGTTCTCGGAATACAGTTCGCGGAATAAAAAATTTATGTTAGCCAAATCATTATGAGCACAATATGTCCAGTTGCTTCATAAGAATGCTTTATAAAAACGAGTGAGTGTGGTGGATCGAATACAACGAATATAGAGCAGTATTTATTGACAGTCGACTGAGCGTGGTATCCTCGATGGACGTTGCTTCTGCCCGTGCCTCGGCTCGCCTCGCACTCGCTGAAACCAAAACATCTGTACGCGGTCAACGATCACTCTACAGTACTACCACTTACACCTCCCCTTTTTATCCAAAAAGGTTTTCTGACCGATTTTGTCTATTCCTCTTTACATCACCTTTTTATCCAAAAAATTAACGAACCCAGGAGAAGAAAGCGAGAACGACTTACTTCACTGTGGTGGCAAGTAGTCGAGCGTAGTGTAGCGTAGAAGCGTAGTAGCGAGCGGGCGGGCTCGACGTGTGAAGAATTCGGAGGTGCCACCTCGTTAAGTGCACTACCTAAAAAAGGGCCGGTCGCATAGAACATAGGACGGAAGACGGCAATAAATGAAACGAGTGCGACGCTCTTACTATGTGTCGAAGAATCAGAAATATCAGTTGATGCCACTACGTGGCCAGAAGAGATGACGCAGCGTGCCATCGTCGTGTGAGAGGATCTTGGCCCCAATACACTTCGGTGCCCGGCGTGACGAGTTTGGATTCGAAAGAAAAAACGCCATTAGTTGATTCGGAGAGAAGTCGCCAAGCAGTGAGGCCGGTGGAAAGGAAGGAGCTTGTACCGTTGCGGTTGGCCGGGCGGACGACCGAGTTCACCAGGGTGGCGCTTTGTGAGCCGCGGCGCGCTCTCTCTCTGCCAGGAGAGTTCAAGCTCATTACGCAGTTGTACCAGTGAAATAGCAAGTAATGCGGGCTGTATCCCAAGTAATCTGAAAACAATCGGTGTCAGAAAAGAGTAGAGATGGGGGGAGACGCAGGCGCGACGAATGTTTAGTGATCTTATGCGAAGAATGCGAGGACCATGAAACCCGGTTTTGAACGTGATCGACACTGCAGGAGAGGAAAACGAAAATAAACAAAGAATGTGCTAACAAAGGAGGGGTAGAGGAATGTACGAAATTAGGCGTGAGTGGATATCACGAAAGAAATCATAAAAGTGGTTAGCGCGAAGGAAATCATTAAAATCTGACCAAAATCTTACCATTTGTTATGCGAACATCTGCGGCACGTGGTTGTTGGTCTTCCCGAGATGTATTTTGACGATCAGGCCCAATGGCCACTGTCCTCTCGTTAGTTTCTCATCTGCGACTATTACCACGTCGTTAACGTGGGGCGACCGTTGCATATTTTGGCTGACGTATGCGATCTTGGTGGCGCTCTCGCAGTGCTGCGAGATAGTCTGAGTACCAAAGTTCCCAGAATCTATTCAGGACTCTGAGTGATTCATGGAGAAGAGGAATTCTCTTCTCAGAGAGAAAAATAAAAGCGTGACATTAATTACTAGGGAAGCATTAAAGTGGGATGGAGCTCTATAATTGTGCAGAAATACAGCGAAAAATGTATACAAGAATAGTCAGGAAACAAAAGTAGCTAAATTTGAATAATATCAGAATACAGCATCACACTAATGGAATACAACGTACCAGTTTGGGAGGTCGGAATACCTGAATATGAATCTTCTCCTTCCTCCCAGTCCACGTCTTCTCCTCTTCTTCAGATGATGGACGCAAGCGTCATTTCGGCTACTTTTGTTCATATGGCGGAATGGGCGGAATGTGAGTGGGCGTGTTTCTGTTAATTGACAGATCGAGCCTTATTCCTTTGCTCACCTATTTTTCACTATAAATCTTTGCGCAGGAGAGCTCTGCCAGGAGTGAGTGCATCCGGAGGACATAAGAGGGAGTCCGGAGTCATCGAACCCGGGTGGCTCGCAG